TCCCGCACCCCTTCCCAGCACCCAGCGCTCCCCGTGAGCCGCGGAGTCGGTCCATCCCACCGGATCCATCCACCCATGGCCGCCCTCTTCACCGGGAAGGTCTTGATGGCCAACCGGGAGGAGGACGAGGTGGAGACGGACCGGGAACTGGGCCGGGCGCTGGAGAACAAGGTGCTGCTGCTCTACTTCGGCTCCGGGCAGTGCCCGCGGTGCCGGCAGTTCTCCCCGCTCCTCAAGGACTTCTTCGTCCGCTTGACCGACCAGTTCTACGTGGAACGAGCTTCGCAACTGGTCCTGGTCTACGTGTCGCGGGACGAGACGGAGGAGCAGCAGAGCGCTTTCCTGCGGAGCATGCCGAGACGCTGGCTGGCCGTTCCCTTCGGGGACGCCTTCCGAAGGTACGTCCCGGGGGAAGCGGCGAGGGAGACCCCGCCAACGGCCCCCTCCGACCACCCCCAGCTGTGTTTTCACATATTTAGACTATTTTCTGGATGTTTTCCCTCATTTTTCGGTCCCCACTGGAGCAGTGAAGTGTGGTGAGTGAATGGAAAAAACGATAAAGCTTTTTGGCTGCACCTATTTATAAAGAAAAACTATTTTGTCTTCTTCCCATCCCACTTTTTGCCGATGTCTTCGCAATCCGGTTGGATAACGCGCTATTTATAACTCTGGACGACGCATCCGCGCGCCGCGCAGCGTGGAAGGCGGATGCAGCCGGGTGGATTGGAAGCTCCCACGTATTTACTGTAACCTCGTTAGCGACAGAACCGGCTGCAATTAGCACTGAGAATTATTTCCAGCTCCTTTGGAGGGCGAACTGGAGGATGTTGACATTTCAAGCGTCCTGCTGCTGCTGTTGAGTTGTGTCAAACACATCCCAGCGGCCATCCCATAGTCTGGGAGCTGCCAGTCGCATCCCCTTTCCCTTTTCCCAGCCCCACAGAGACCCACATCAAGCTCTAATTACCAGTGACAAACGAGGTGGTTCGGTTGAGCAAACAGGCTCCACGTAACCGTGTGCGCCAGGACGGCCGCAGGAATCCTTTGGGATGGTGAGGATGAGGAGCGGTGAGGATGAGGAGTGGTGAGGACCACTACGCCCTTCCCAGTTTGAGGTTTCTTCCCGCTTTTGCCTTGCAGGGAGCTGGAGCTGCGGTTTGCCGTGTCCGAGGTGCCCGCGGTGGTGGTGCTGAAGCCGAACGGGGAGGTGATCGTTGGAAACGCCGTGGAAGAGATCCGGCGCATGGGCCCCGCTTGCTTCCGAAACTGGCAGGAGGCTGCCGAGCTGGTGGACCGCAATTTTCTCTTGGCAGAGGATTTCGATGACTGGACCAGGAGGAGCATCACCGACCCCATCCGCCGCCTCAAGTACAAGCTGGAGAAGAAGAAGGAGAAGAAGGAAAGGAAAGAGGAAGGTGAAGAGTCTTCCTAGGGGTCGCTGCCGGTGTCTCCGGAATGGCAACATCTGTCCGTGTTCTAGAAGTCCACTAAAAACCACATTACTTTTCAAAAAGTTCAATTTTTTTAAGGCAAACGTGCTCTACTCCCGTGCACATAACCTGGTGTCATGGTTTGATGTGGAGGGGGTG